TCGGAGCATTTGGAGGCCGAATCGAGAGGCAAGGGCATTGCAAAGTAGGGATTTATTCGGATTGAGGTGAGTAACAGTCTTAAATCTGGTTTTGAGGGTATAAAACCCCGAGAATTTGTATAATGTGATATTTGAAGGTGACGCACATGCTAGGTGACGGGCGTGTGAGCGTGCACCGTGGGGGATTATGACTTGGTCTATCCCGTGAGACTGTAAAGTCGAATAGCCATTGTTATTACTTGAGTTTCCTTGTCTTTGAGAAATTGACTGACTTTCATGTTAGAAACCATGCTTATGCCATATGATATCACTATTGGGACTCGCAACGGTCGTATACTTGTTGAACTGACTGTTAATTGTTGTCTTGTACTCAGTCACAGTCTTATTGTGGGTTATGTCTCTGTTTCCTCTCATTTCTTGTTGATACTTGTTGTATTCCCTGTTGGGCTGGTTATTATGATATTCTGGGAGCCCGAGGGGCTGGAGAGATAAGTGACTGAGGTAGGGCATGAGTGCCGGGTTGAGAGCTATGTGAGATATATTGGATCGAGCTGCACGCCGCAGCAATATTGGATTGGGTTGCATGCTGCAACAAGCCTTCGAGCCATATATCGGATCGGGATGCACGCCGCAGTAATATATGGATCGGGCTGCACGCCGCAGCAATATTGGTCGGGCTGCACGCCGCAGCAATAGATAGCGCTTGGGCTGTAGGAGCCCCTCCGGAGTCTATACAACCGCAGTGAGCGCAGGTACCTTTGATTGTGCGTATTGAGGCTGAGAGCCGAGTGATTGAGCTGTTAAGATAGATGAGTGACAGTAGCTCTATGAGGCTGTACTTGCTCTTATTTTGTTGTTGCACTTCGTTGCTAATTGTTGTTGTTGTAAAACTTTCTGGAGGGCTTATATTGTTGTACTTGAACTCGAAATGTTTTGATTTAAAACACTGAATTGAAAGCATGCCTATTTTTCTTGCCGAAATTACTAAAATGAACTGAAATTGTGTAGCTCGTCACTGCTTCTCAGTTCCTTATTTAATTTTGTTACTTACTGAGTTGGAAGTAATCACGTTACTCCCTACACCTTGTGTGTAGATTCATGTGTGACTGGACGTGGAGGTCATTGAGTTCGTGCGCAGTTGATCTTCCGGAGATTTACGAGGTAGCTGCCGGCGTTCGCAGACCTTGTGCTCCCTCCTCATTATCTTTCTTTCTCTGTATTGATATCTAGACGCAGACTATTGTAGACACTGTTTTTTAGATTGAGAGTCTAGTTGCTCATGACTTAGTGACACCCCGATGTCGGGCTATTTTTTCGCACTTATATTTTATTTGGGTTTTACCCTCGTATTTATGAGAAACTCCGATTATTTTAAATGTCTTAATTCTTTTCTATTAAATTTGGAAAGTGTTTTGGAAAGATCGGCTTGCCTAGTACCACGATAGGCGCCATCACGACGGGTTAGGTTTTGGGTCGTGACAAATGCCCTACTGCGAATTGATATCTATGTTTTACTTTTAACAATGAAGCAATCTTTATTTTCACTCTACATTATGATGTACATTTACTTCTTTTTCTTTTGGTAAATAATACTAGAGTTAATGATGAATTTTCTGAATAGAAAAGAGCAAAATTGTAAATCAATGGGTAAACTCAAGGAAAGTAGGTGATGTCAGGGAAATTTCATTATGATAATATTATATATAATACTCCTAACATGTGTGCTTTATACTTCAAATCTATATATATATATATATATATATNATCATATTCTAACGTGTTATTTTAGTTTCTCTTTGCCATAAATCGTTTTGTTTCGAAACCGTTGCAAAAGTAACTCATTGTCTCTATTATTTCTTCTGTTACTTATAATTACCATTATTAGTATATAGTAATGTTGCACCGTTTGAATTCGGCCAACAAACTCATATATATAGACTCAACTGCTCCCACTTTCTATCTATTGTGAGCCGAGAGGGCAACGACGCAATGGAGTTTTATCAGCCGGCAGAGAAAAGTGGAAGAATGTCTTTGCAGTATATATGTGAACTTGGATGGAGGGAAGGCGCTTAAGGGAATTGATGTAAGGATTAATATGTTGTTATCTATAGTCTCATTCTTTCTGTGAGGAAACATCCAATATAGAAGGAAGTTTTAGTGATTGATATATCAAAATCTTTCAATGGATAAATTGAGATTATGAGATCTTACGAACTTCTGGAAAAAGCTATGCATTTGGTGTCACTGTTTATGATGGGAAGAGATAGCAAGTCATAATTTAAAAGTTATCTTTATCATTTTTTATTAGCATAGATAAACTAGATATGTTTACTTTAATGTGATTTTTCCGTGATTATTATTAGAAGAATTGTTTTTTGCACTATATAAGTTTAGTGTTTATATTAAGTCAACTTTTATACCTTTGAATTCTTTTGTGTGTAATTTTTTTTTCTCATTCCATTCAAATCTCATTAATATTCTCTATAAATTCAAAAGAGAAAATAACCTACAAATAGAAACTGGTTTATTCGACCGACTAAGTTGTCGGTTATATGGCACATCTTATAAGCCATCAAAAGTACTTTTTTTCTCATTTTTCAGTTATCTTCTTTTAAAAGTATCGCTACATAACTTACCTCTTCAACTTCGTTATCCATAAAACTCTTCATGTCCATATCTGTCAAATTTTAATTTGTAAGTTAATGACACTTTATGACATTCCTCCATTTTGCTTATATAAATTCATATTTTGTCATAAAGACTTCCACCCAAAGTTATGTGTTTCATGTCATATTTGGAATGGTAATGTTGTTTGTTGTGGAATATGACAATTTTAGATATTAATTTACTCTCTTTCAGAGGCGGATCCATGATTTAAATCATATGGATTTAATTTTAAGGTTTTTAACATTGAACCCATTATATTTTTAAAGTTATGGGTTCATATCTACTATTTTTGCAATTTTAATAAATTTTTATTCCGCGTCGAAAGTTATGATTTCAGTTGAATCCGTAGTCAGTACACTGCATCCGCCTCTGCTCTCTTTTCCTTGCCGAAAGAGAGATATGTGATGGTAGTACTCCTATTTTCTAATCAGAATAATTACACGATTGACTGCACATGATATAGAACCACGAAGAAGCATACAGTGCTATAGTGAATGCTACTTTTTCGTTTCTTTGGTAGAAACAAATGCCTTAAGCTACATGTATAGATTAACTTGATTACCTAAAGATCTTAAATAGGAGAAAAAATCCTTACACTGATGATTATACAATTTATAGAAAATAATTTTGACAAAAACACATTCCTAAAATATAAATGTACCACAATAGAGAATGAAACAACAAAATAACACTCCAACATAGAAGTAATAGTTATAATGCAGACAAATATTCATACAACTTTTCGATAGATGTATAACGTTGCCACTATGGGGACTAAAACAATAAAAGAACATTACTAACAAATAAGAACAATAAGTAATATTTCGATGGTGCTAATTTAAGTAGTCTTCTTTTCCTTTTGGATTGACATACTAATTTCCTAAGAACCAAGTCTTTTGTCATGAAGAGTTAATGAAAAATCATGGGTCGTTTGGTTGGGAAATAAGTTATCCCATGATTAGTTATTCTGGGATAAGTTATTCCACCCTCCCACAGGGATAATAACAATACGACAATTCCGGTATAACTAATTCCGGATTAGTTATACCGTGATTTTAACCCAACCAAATATGGAATAAACTCATCTCAAATTTAATCCCGGGATTAATTATTCCTTATCCCTCATACCAAATGAGCCCGTGGATTAAAATTTGAAATCCATTATTTTAAAATTGAAACTTAAAAAGAATCATTAAAATATGTTTTTGAATATAATGATGAAATAAAAACTCATAAGTTCTTTACAAATGGGCGAAGCGCGATGTAATTTACTAGTTCATTATAAATACTAGAGCACTAGTTCAGAAGCATGCGTGCCTTTCTTTCTGTTTTTAATTTCACAAAAAGGGGCGAAATATATGGTTCAAATGGGGAGTCGAATAATTATACCATGTAAGTAGGGTTATAAATTATTTCTCATCAAAAATACTTTTTAAAATAGTATTTATGAGAGAAATGGTTTTAAAAGCTTGGCCAAAATAATAGATAGAGAGGTCAAATTGAAGGAAAACCACGTGTCATTCGTTCATATGTTTTCGTCCCAAAACAAAGAACACAACAATTCTTTCTCCAAATTGATCACCAGCCCTAATAGTTGAGAAATCAGTGAACAACGCATTTTGGACAAGCATTGACAGCTTCTTCCATTGAGTTCGTCGGACCTAAGTGAACGTTCGCTATACCCAGGTGTAAAGTTTCACTAATACTTAGCTTACCAGAGAGATACACGAGTATATATACAGAAACTCAAGTTGAACTTTTAATCAGGCTATTCACCCCCTTTAAATTTTAATCAATTCAGAATTTCATAAATTTACTATAGGTGATGGGTTGGTAAGTGGCCTTTCTTTGTTTATTTTGAAATGTTTAGTACTTTTCTGGATAAAATTATTGGTCATGGACCTTTTAATTTTTCATTCGTTTATTGGCCTAGTGATGATTCTGCTTTTCAAGTTTGGTAATAAACACGTTCATGTAAGATAATAAACGCAGGCATGAACCTCGTTGATTATGTAGTTAGCTAACTTTGCGGTCCTTTTAGAATACTATAATATAATATTAATAGCTTCCAGAAGGTAGAGAATTCATGGGACAAAATACATTGTAACACAACACAGTTATGAACACAAAAAGTTCCATTTTTGAATAAAGCTGCCAGCAACAACCATATTTGAACACGATATATAGCCTCTATATCATAATATCAATTCCACTAGATCAAAAGAAATTCTGACTGGATACTCCACAGCAACAATTTCTACCGATTTACTTGCACTATGCCAATATGGAATCCTATTCCTTCCCTATATATGCTAGTTATCTTGATCATCACTATGTTTCCACTTGTTTCTGCCAAATACCATTTTAATACTTCTGAAACATCTTCAACTGCAAATGTACTTGCCCTCTTAACATGGAAGGCCAGCCTTGAAAGTGAAAGCCAATTACTTCTTTCTTCTTGGGTGAATACAAGCACAAGTCCTTGCCATTGGGACTGCATTCGTTGCGACAGTGTTGGACGAGTAACTGAGATGAATATGCAAAATTATAGCATAAAGGGTACCCTTCACTATCTTGATTTTTCATCATTCTCCTATCTCATCAGATTAGACTTACCCAATAACTCACTCTATGGTACTCTTCCCACCAACATATTCAATCTTTCAAGGCTGAGTTACCTTGACTTAGGCTACAATGATTTTTCAGGAATGGTTCCACCTGAAATAGGGTTATTGAGAAGCTTGAGTTTTTTATTTCTTGATTACAACGAATTCTCTGGGCATATTCCACGAGAAATAGGGATGTTGAGTTCTTTAAAAGACCTCTTTCTGTCAAAAAACACATTTGTTGGCTCTATTCCCACTTCTTTTGGTAACTTGACCAACATAAAGTCCTTGTATCTTCATAGCAACACGCTTTCAGGACCCATCCCTCAGGAGATTTGGTCTTTGACACATTTGATGGATGTTGATTTGGGATGGAACAATTTTAGTGGTCAAATATCAAGTTCTATTGGGAATTTCAGAAAGTTGTACTCTTTGATTTTGTCCAAAAACAGTCTCACAGGTGAAATACCAACATCAATTGGAGACTTAAGCAACCTGCTCGTTTTATCCATTTGTAAAAACAGGCTTTCAGGGCCCATTCCTACATCCATTGGAAACTTGACGAAGCTAAAGACATTGTATTTATGTCAAAATGGATTGTATGGTCCCATTCCTCCAAGCTTTGGGAACTTAAAATCTCTTGTTGATATGAGATTGTTCATTAATAAACTCAATGGACCCCTTCCACTAGAGTTGGAAAACATTACCAACTGGGAGATGTTTCACATAGCCGATAACCATCTCTCTGGTCATTTGCCTCATAATGTTTGTCTTGGTGGATTCCTGACAGAAGTATCAGTGCAGAATAATCGTTTCATCGGTAGCATTCCGAGAAGCTTGAAAAACTGCTCCAAGTTATCCAGGGTCAGACTTGAAAACAATAAACTATCAGGAAAAATATCAGAAGCTTTCGGTGTATATCCGAATCTAGACTACATTGATTTAAGTCACAATGAATTGCATGGAGAGCTATCATCACAATGGGGACTTTGTGGTAAAGTTACCTGTTTGAAGATGTCCAACAACAATTTATCTGGATCTATTCCATTTGAGATTGGAAATGCATCTTCTTTACAGGTGCTTGATCTCTCCTCTAACAATTTCACTGGCAAGGTCCCTAGAAGCTTGGATAGCCTAAAGCTACTTTTTGAGCTTGATTTGTCTAGTAACGAACTTTCAGATGGTATTCCATCAGAACTTGGGAAGCTTTCTTCCCTTGCAAAACTTAACTTAGCAGCAAATCATCTCAGTGGCATAATTCCACAAGAGATTGGAAACAATGTGCAGCTATTGAGCTTGAACTTAAGCAAAAACATGTTGGAAGCAAGTATTCCTTCACACTTAGGGAACTTGCGGTTCTTACAAAATATGGATCTTAGTCATAACATGCTTACTGGTGAGATGCCATGGAAACTGGGACGATTACAAAGCTTGGAGCTAATGAATCTTTCGCATAATAAGCTGTTTGGTTCGATCCCATCAAGTTTGGATCAGTGTCTTAGTTTGAGGTTTGTTGATATATCTAATAATCAATTGGCCGGTCCTGTTCCTAACATCTTAGCTTTTCAGAATGCGTCGCTTGAAGAACTAAGAGACAATAAAGGCTTGTGTGGCCATCTCATTGGTTTGAAACCTTGCTCTTCATATTTAATCACCAAGAAAAGAATAAAAATCTCGACGATTCTTTTTAGTTTGGGTGGTGTTCTTCTTTTGATGGTTGTGATCATTTGTCTTCTTTATACCACATCTTGGAAAAGGAAAAATCAAATTGAGCAAAGAGAACAAACCAAGGATCTTTTTTCCATTTGGAGCTTCGACGGGAAGATGACATATGAGAACATCATTAGCGCAACAGAGGGATTTAACAGCAAATATTGCATAGGAAAGGGAGGACATGGAAGTGTCTTCAGGGTCGAGTTACCAAGCGAGCAAGTGGTCGCGGTGAAAAAATTTCATCCTTTAGATGATGGTGAGTTGGACAGCTTGAAAAGCTTTAAAAATGAAACAAAAACATTGTTGTTAATCCGTCATCGTAATATTGTAAAGCTTTATGGATTTTGTTCACATGCAAGACATTCTTTCTTGGTTTACGAATTCTTGGAAGGAGGAAGCTTATTAGAGAGACTAAGAAATGATGTTAAAGCGGCAGAGTTAGATTGGATTAAGAGAGTGGACATTGTCAAAGGAGTAGCAAATGCATTATCTTATATGCATCATGAGTGTTCACCTCCTATTCTTCACAGGGATATATCAAGTAAGAATGTTTTGTTAGATTGTGAAGACAGGCCCCATCTTTCTGATTTTGGTACTGCAAAACTCCTAAGGCCTAACTCCTCTAATTGGACTTCATTTGCTGGAACTTTTGGATATGTTGCTCCAGGTATGCTCTATTTAAGTTTAGACTAACTCCTATGTGTAAATTATTTTCATGAATTTCAAGAATCTCAATTACTAAAAAAGTAGCAGGATTTTCTATGTGTAGTGCATGTCAAAAAGTATATGACAAAAAACATTCTCCTTGAGATAATGTTCTTAATGTCTTTCATTCAATCCTTTGATACACATGGTTGCATGTCAAATTTGTTTGAGCCTTGAGCGGGCAAGGGCAGCCCGGTGCACAAAGCATCACGTGTTCACGCAGGATCCAGGGAAGGGTCGTACCCCAAAGGGGTGTGATGTAGGCAGCCTACCCTGACGCAAGCATCTGTGGCTGATTCCACGGCTTGAACCAAGGCTCCCCTTGGAGAGGAACAATTTTAAATCATTTACAACAGTAAACCAGTTGCTTTTGAGTCTTATATCATTTTCATTCTCTTGTATTCTGCTGGTTCTCTTAGTTATGGAAATTGTGCATCTGAATATTCCTTTTCTTCTTGATTCACATGTATATACAGAGCTTGCTTACACTATGGAGGTAGATGAAAGTTGTGATACCTACAGTTTTGGAGTGCTATCATTGGAAGTGATTTTAGGTCGGCATCCAGCTGATCATATTGTTCATGCTATATCATCAAAAACCGGCCTTGACATATTATTAAAGGATTTCATTGATCAACGGCCATTACCTCCGTTTCGAGTGGCTGAAGAATTGATCAACATCACAAAGATAGCATTGACATGTCTTTATCCAAGTCCACAACTTAGGCCAACCATGCAACAAGTTTCTACGTCTTTAGCCAAAGAAAAGCCACTTTTGAATAATTGTTTTCCTTTTATTACTTTAGGCCAACTGATTGATCTTGAACTAGGAAGTTCCTAAAATTTGTGTGTTTTCCCTTTTTACATTAGCAATTGTGGCGTTTTCTCCTCTTGTACTGCACATTACCATCTTTATGCAATAGACTAATAGAGTACATATATTGCAAAAAGAGAACGTTGATCTTGAGCTAGAAGTTAAAGTATAATTCTTACCGTTTACTCTTATACTTATTTTTTCTTACTTTTGGTAAGAGTTCATGATTGAAAGAAAAGAGCAACTTCCCATGAAAGAGCTAGTGTAATTTAAAACTAAGGGACAGATAATTAAGATAGAGCATACCTGGAGCAGTTTTTCAAGCTTCTTGATAACCAATTAAACAGTTATTCTGCACTGATATTTCTCTCAGGAACCCACCAATTTTGCGAAACTGCAGTTTTGCAAGATTAGATAAGCTGATCCCTCTATCCAAATTTATGTTGCAATTTTTTCTTTTTAAGTCTTTTCCAAAATGAACATTACCTTTCTATATTTAGAAATAATGTAACTTTAAATTTCTCATTGTACTAATGAGATCATTTATAGTCACACAAATATCTATGATTTATTTTAGACAGCAAGTTTTAAAAGTCTTCTTCTCTTTCTTAAATTCGATGCCAAGTCAAATTGTGCCACATAAATTGAGACAGAGTAAGTATTATAGCCTGTTTGGCCGTGTTTCTTTTTGGCCAAAAGTTTTTTTTTGAGGGCCAAAAGTGCTTTTTCCTAGAGTTAACATGTTTGACCAAGCTTTTAGAAAATAATAAAGTACTTTTAAGTAAAAACAAAAGCAGAAAAAAAATAGTTTCTTCCCAAAAATATTTTTTTGAAAAACACTTTTTAAAAAAACACACTTGCATGCACTTTCTTAAAACTTGACCAAATACTAACTGCGGCTCGAAAGTGTTTTTTCAAACTAATTACCCAAACACAAACTGTTTCTTATCAACGTGTTCGCCGAAAGCTTCCTTTTTTTCTTTTTAGTCTTTCCTTGCCAAGAACCAAAAGGTGAGAGGCAGAGCTCGGTCTCAAGGTTTAAATTTAAAGTCACTAGTCAGTTCAACTGTACAAGTAAAAAACGAAAGTAAATATTACATGCAACTAAGGGGTCGTTTGGTTACGGGTAAGTGGGATATCCCAGTATAAAAATTGAGATTAAATTTATTCCATGTTTTGTAACTGGTATTAAATAATACTGGTATAATTTTATACAAAATATTGGTATAAACTTATCCCACATTGGAGGTGGAATAACAATACCGGTATTATAATCCCTTGGATAAAGATTTCGTGAAGGCCGGATTACCCCTCCAAAAGCCCTTTTCACTGCTTCAGTACGTTTGTTTTGTCAGTTCTCCACAAACCCTTTTCTCTCCGACGATACAACCGAGCTTCACATCTCAACCATGGCTCCCTGATATCACGAGAGAAAATCTACTTCTCCTTCTCAGTAAGTTTTTATTTCTTCTCTTCCCTTCTCTTGTTACTTCCCCTTCTCAACCTCATTCTCTATTATTACACGAAAGTCTTTCTCTAAAAAAAAAAAAACTTTTTTTCTTCTCTTTTTTGTTACTTCTCTTTGTCCAAGGTATCTATTTTCTGTTTGTTGAGTAACAACTGTTGGGATTTTGATGTTGGTTTGTACTTGTTTTGTTTGCTGAAACCCAGAAATTTTCAGCATTCTTTTACATAGTAAATGTAGTTTTAGTGAAATATTAATGATTTTTACCATTCTCAACCTCATTGCGCCCAAGTCGCCCTATGTTGCAGTACAACAACAACAACCCAGTATAATCCCACTAGTGAGGTCTGGGGAGGGTAGTTTGTACGCAGACCTTACCCCTACCCTAGGGCAGAGAGGTTGTTTTCGATAGACCCTCGGCTCCCTCCCTACAAGAACTCCCCACCTTGCTCTTGGGGTGACTTGAACTCACAACCTCTTGGTTGGAAGTGGAGGNATCCCCTGCTTTTGAGTTGTACACTTCAGAACAACAAATCAAAGCAGCAATGGGGCTTACTTCTGAGGTTAGAAGAATGGATATATTCTTACGGATGGGTGAACTTGAACGTCAGAATATGGTCTGGATGATTATCAATGATATATTTCCAAGTATATAAGATATAATTGTAAAGGTTGGGCATGGGTTTGATGGTTTTTGCTAAATTGACAACCTTCAAAATGTTTAATAGATGTATTATATTTTTGATGCCTCAGCTCCATAAACTTGATATGTGACTAGTATGAGCATGAGGATGCATATGTAAATGTAATGCATGAATGCTAATTGGTATGGAGATCATACCTTTTGTCTATTTATAGCTTTTTATGATCGTGTGATATTGTTTTTATATTTGCGACATGCTTGAACAATTTCGCGGTGATTTTATGGCACTATTGGTATTCCAGAGCAATGTGTATGTTTGCCGCTGCACTTTTTTAGTTTCAATTTCTGCAGATTTTGACTGCAGTTTCTACACTTTTTCTTATTGTAGTATCTGCACTTATTTTAGCTTTAGTTTCTGCACTTATTTTAGTTTCGATTTCTGCATATTTTAATTTCAGTTTGTAGTTTTTAAGTTTCAGTTTAGCAGATTTTAGTTTCAGTTTCTGCATAAGCTTCTGCACTCTTTTTGCTGGAGTTTTTGCACAATTCTTGTATTTTTTTGCACTGTATTTGAGTAATTTTTGCATAGTTCCTGCACTTTCTGCATTCTTGGTGCACAGTTTCTGCATGATTCCTGTATTTTTCTGCTATGTTTTTACATTATTTCTGCATTTTTCTGCACTCTTTTTGCATAGTTTCTGCAGTTTTCTGCATAGTTTTTGCATTTTTCTGCATTGATTCTGCACTCTTTTGCATAGTTTCTATATTTTTCTGTATATTTCTACACTATTTTAGCTTCAGTTTGTGTACTTCTTTTGCAACAGTGCAGCAACAATATAATTTTCTTGCATCTTGGATGAATGAAGTAATGTCTTTGAGTATTTGAACTTAGTATAATAAGAAAATATTGTTGGGTGGAGTTTTCTGTTAAGAAAAATATCGTTTGTATAAGCCATGAAATATCTAAGGTTAAAATAGGAAATAGAATTTTATCCAAGTTTATCCAACTTTAAACCAAACACATGTTTTGGATTATATACGGTATATCCCATTTTTAATCCAATGAACGAAACAAAGTAATAACACTAAGTAACCCAAGGGATTATTAATACCAGGATTATAATCCTGGAATAATTCTGTCCGCGAACCAAACGACCCCTAAGTGTAACGTATCAAAGGTCATTGAATCGTCGTATTGGAAAGATTTTAGACTACCAGAGAAAAAAAGCTATCTAACCCTAATATCCTTGAAGTGCTTTTTCCGGTGCGGTATTTTTTTGAAGTGAAAAAATGAACTTCATTTAGGTTTGGCATATAATTTTCGAATTTCATGTTCTTCTTCTTTATAACAAAGAAAAAGAGAAAAATGTAAACGCCAAACTGAAAAGAGAAAAAAGTAAAAGACAAACTGCTTTGTTTAAAAATAAAAATAAAAGCATTTTTTACCTTTTATGAACTTGACCAAACAAGTTAGTAAAGATTTACAAGTCAAAATAATCTTTTATATTATAAGTCACTCATTTCTTTTCTTTTTTCTGTTTACTTTTCGAAAAGGCAGTTGGCATACATTCTTGTGTTCCTTTCTAGGTGATGTTATTTTCCTGAGCTTAACTTAAATATACATCATTAGAGTCACCTTCACCTATTTTAATACTAGATGGTTAGTGCCCGTGCTATGTACGGGCATATGCCCGACAAAAGAGCATGAACTCAATACTACATAGCAGACCTATAGATGCAACATTAACAGTGAACCGGAGAAGCATTTTTGGCTTAGATGTGCATAAAATAGCTACAGCAATAAGAGAAAATAAAGAAACAGAAAGACCAGAATATACTTGGATGAATACAGGGATCATCACTTAACTGCAATATTGCATCAGAAAAGTAGCTGGGCCAGCAATTCCATTAACCAGAAGGATAATTCACAAAGAATAGATAAGAAACATAGCAACATTATTCCACAACCCACTTAAGAATAGAGATCATGCAATTGTATGTCATAATTTTACATCATTTACTAAACATGAATTTTTCAACAGCCTTTTTAAGTTACGAACAATACAGAATAATACCACCAGCCCCACCCTAGAAGAAAAATTACCTCTCTATCTCTGGTATTGCAGTTTTGCGTTCAATGCTTCATACTGCAGAGAAGTCCTGGTCAGTTAGAACATGAGATTTTGCAACTTTGTGAAGTGCAGTAATTGCAGTGCATTGTGAAACAGATTGAGTCCTAACTTCTTCATGCTATAAGCATTCCTCGACCTGAATTTCATCAAGAGAGTGTAATCAATAACTGGTGAGGAACTATAAAGTTTATGCAACATGCAAAGCAAGCTTAAATAAATAGCACCTTCAGCATCTAATCCTCGTAACATTTTCTTACAGTCCAATCTGAGGCTTTCTTAGAGTAGGATATACCTTCAGCATTGATTCTTCAAAGTCTATCACGTAATATTTCAGGGAGTTTTCACCCATCTCCACGTATACATTCAAAATATTCTTCACTAAGCCTAATCTATTAGCTCTCCTCACATTCTCTATCTATGTATAATAGTAGTATATGAATCATCTCATGTCCAAAAATAACGGTCGCGAATGAAAAAAGAGAACAATAAAAATGTATATTCTACTGTACTTCAATACATATAGCTGCTTATAAATCTTGCCGCTCCTAAAGTGAAACCAATATGGTAGTGTCATTATTACATTTTACCTAGCAAAGATTGATTTAGGAGTTTTCATGTTCTTGGATCAAGTGTGCAAGGAATATTGCTAGGATGGGCAGACCGCTAGTACTGCAAAGATAAGTGATTACCTATATGGATTGTGTTATTTTTATTTGCTAAGGTAGGTAACATGTCCATTGAAATGAAGTGAAGTATCACTGTTTAAAGCTACCTTCAGTCCATGTCT